TCCATCCATCCATCCATCCATCCATCCATCCATCCATCCATCCATCCATCCATCTTCCTCCTCTTATCCGGGGTCGGGTCGCGGGGGCACCAGCTTAAGAAGGGAGGCCCAGACTTCCCTCTCCCCAGCCACTTCTTCCAGCTCTTCAGGAGGAACCCCAAGGCGTTCCCAGACCAGCCGAGAAACATAGTCTCTCCAGTGTGTCCTGGGTCTTCCCCGGGGCCTCCCCCTGGTGGGACGTGCCCGGAACACCTCTCCAGGAGGCATCCTAACCAGATGCCCAAGCCACCTCAACTGGCTCCTCTCGACGTGGAGGAGCAGCGGCTCTACTCCGAGTCCCTCCCGGATGACCGAGCTTCTCACCCTATCTCTAAGGGAGAGCCCAGCCACCCTACGGAGGAAACCCATTTCGACCGCTTGTATCTGCGACCTCGTTCTTTCGGTCATGACCCAGAGTTCATGACCATAGATGAGGGTAGGAACGTAGATCGACCGGTAAATCGAGAGCTTCGCTTTTTGACTCAGCTCTCTCTTCACCACGACGGACCGGTACAGCGCCCGCTTCACGGCAGACGCTGCGCCAATCCGCCTGTCGATCTCCCGCTCCCTTCTTCCCTCATTCGTGAACTCATACATTTTATTCCATTAAATTTTAACTGTAAGCTTCCTAATTATGAAGAAAAATAGCCTCTTGGTCATCAGCAGGATTTCTCCTAGATTTAAATTCTGTTTTACATGTATCCTAATACCTCTGCCGATGGTTAAAAAACAAAGTTCATTCAGTACATTGAATACAATAATGTAGCTTTCCATTGGAGCTGTTCAGTTGTCTTTCTTGATTGTATTGCAAAGATGAAAATAATTTTTCATCATTAGACAGGCTTCACCCCTTTGGTTAGTTGTACTGTTTCAGAGTACTTATGAATAAAACTGGCTTGGTTTTAGAATTCTGTTGCAATCTAAGTCTGAGGTTTAAATAGGGACAAAACTGCTTAAAAATGCTGAGCCTAAATTATATCATAATGTCCATCTGATTTACATATGTATCATTAGCATTTTAAGCTGAAATAACTATGGGTTTGTCATGATTTATTGGCCGGAATTTGTTCCGTTAATACAACTTAAAGATTTGTTTTTTTTTTTTACTTTTATATAAAAAATGTCTCTGTCTAATTAAGATATATAACAAATATCATCACGATCATATAAAAAAGAAGAATTAGGGTGTCATAATTTTTATATAAAAGTAGAGGAAATATTTGAGGCCAGTCTGCAGAAGTTTTAAACATTGTCTTAGGTATAGTACTTGAAAAATACATTAAAAAAAAATAAAGTAGGGCTGTATTTCGGCCAGGGCTTTTCACTCTAGCTGGACTGACTTATTGATAGTATGAGCGTGGCCCAGAAGAGTCGTTAAGGTGGTGATAGCTTGTCATCGCAACACAGGTCAAAGCAGTACTGAGGTCAACTCTGCTGTTAGCTTTTAGTAAATTTTGTTGTTTACATGTATCTTGAGTACATTTAGAACATTTCTGTATGCAAAAGAGGTATTTTTCTGCATCTGTGTACTGAAATTTGAAACCCATTTTGTTACATTTGAAAAAAAAAAAAGCATTGGCTTCAAAAGTGGCAGCATCATGTCTTTGGGTTTCTTTGGCTTGGTCACAAATTGTTGTACCAATTGTTGTACCAAATGGACAATGGCTGGAGGTCATTGTTGTAGTAAATGACTAGAAACTTGAAACAGTGACAGAAAAAAATGCCACATTTAACAGAAGTAATTTTGAATAAAACATAAAATCTTTAAACTAGATTTTTTTTTTTTTTTGGTGAAGACAATGAATCCAGTATCCCACCAAATGAATGAAAACTGCAGCGCTTGCTTTAGACTCCCTTCCATGTGTTCATGTAAATGTGTTCATCGTTTCCATTTATAGTGTCATGTCTACAAGCACTGTAAACAAATGAGGGCAAACACATAAAACCTGTATACTTAAGCACACACTACACTTTAAGAGTGTCCTCTTGCTGCACAAACAAAGCCAAAAAAGCACCGGTCAAACAGGTCGTTTAGAAATGGATGGGCAGGTGGAGGGGAGGAGAGTTGAGGGAAGTGCAGAGGGAGACAGAGAAAGAGAGAAATACACCCTTTAAGGAGTATGCTTCGGATCCAAGGAGCAGTGGAACTACATGCTGCCTCACCTTTTTGCTTCTGGTTCTGAGAAAACCGTACCAGTTTCCAGCTGCTCCAAATACAGTTAGGGAGAGGATAATTTCATCCAGAGACACAAATTAGGGTTCTAACTGAACTAAGGCTGTGTCTGAATGTTTGCCCTAACCACTATATCAGACACTATACAGTGGTTAGGCCATTTTAGATGACTGTCCGAATGTCTAGTGGATGAAAAAGTAGTATACTAGAAAAAAAATCTCCCACAATGCACCTTGAAAAGTAGTGATCATCCATGGTAACCAGACGAGGAGATATATCCTGGAATGATATGCACATGGAGCTCTCCCCACAAAGCATTATGGGATTTGCTGTAACAGCAGCCTGCTGTCACCATGGACCAGGGGTGGGCAATTCCAGTTCCCGAGGGCCGCTATCCTGCAACTTTTAGATGTGCCTTTGGTTTGACACACCTGAATCAAGTAATCAGATGATTGAGAGGACTCTAAAATAAATAACTGCATGCTTATGAGGTAACTCAGCCATTTCATTCAGGTGTGTTTGACCAAGCATGGATCTAAAAGTTGCATGACACCGGCCCGCAGGATATGAAAGTGCCCACCCCTGCCATAGACTATCACTACCTGACAGCGGCAAATATGACAATGATGCCGCAGGCCCTCGTGGGTCGGAGGAAGAGTTATGTGACCAACGGGGAGCAAAATGTAGTGAGTTAACTCTTTCTAAGAAAGGAAAGAGCTGCTTTCCTACCCTGGATAGTGTTCCTACTGTTGACCCTGCAAAGGTGAAGGGACACAGTTAGGAGGTGGCCATGACCACTATTAACCAATCATTGGCCATTGACCGGAGTAGCCCTCCAGTAGGGCACGATTTAGTTTTGGTAAAGCAAGGGGGACACAACAGGCCGAGGGCTTGCTGCTTTTAAAGGCTCTGCCCTGAGGGCAGTGATTCGTCATCTGTCAGATTAAACAAGGCAGCTGGTCACAGGAACCCTCTGCCAACCAGAGAGTAGCAGCAGTGATACTCTCATGCGGACTGTCCTAACAAATACATGTATGAAAAATCAACCATAATATTACAACAAATATACAGAAATAAGTTATTCATATCAATATACCAATATTAAAGACAACAAATACTGAATCTATTCTCTTTTCAGAGCTTGTTTTTGTGTTTTATTTGGAGAATGGAAAGTTATGTGTCTCTACAGGTCATTTAGGTGATTAGAGAACAACTGCTCAATCAACGTGAATATTATGCTGAATCATAAATGAATAATGTAAACAGCTAAAATTTTAAAATATTCCTGCCTATAAATCTCACCTTGGCAGCAGAACCTTCACCAAAAGCCCCTGTAACATGACAGATTTAACTGGGCCAGAACCCGTCTGAACGTGCCAAAGAAACTAGGGTTGGTCCTCACAGTGACAGGCATGCTGCAGTCTTTGCACACACACCTCTCCATCCCTGCATCCTGGAGGATGCTGCAGCTACCAGTTACCATGGCAACAGCAGGATGAAATGTCTTATTGAGGGAAACTTGGACCAGGTCACCGCCAGAAATGCAGACCAGAACCAGAAGTGTTTCTGCCACCCTCATAAAGGCTGACCGAGACTAGGGTTGGTACTGTCAGAAACACAGACCCCAAACGGTTCATTTACTTCACCCCTTCCTCAAATTTCTCTCATAGAGATCCATGCATTTTAATGACACCTCACCCACCTGAAACCTGGAAAATGTTCTCTTGTGTTTTTTTCTAGCAAAGGACCTAAGCCATCTCCCCACCGTTAATACTCTCCAGCCCTCATAGCTTTTCCATATATTATCAGATTCACTGATTCTTATTAATTGTTCCCAACAAGGCAGGATGAACAGGACCTGATCTGATCTTCTCAACGTCAGTACTGGTGCACCCTAGGGGTGTGTAAGTTCACCTGTTCTGTTCATTTTATAAACCAATTACTAGTGTTGTGCCAATGCCATTTTTTGGCCCTGATACGATACCCGATACCTGGCTGTGCAGTATCGGTGGATACCGATACCATACGATACCATCTGTTTAAAATTGATGTGTGTGTGTGTATATGAAGAACTGCATACTACTTGGATGTAAAATAATTGCCATCATGGCTTTGTCAAGAGCTGCCTACCTTTGTGAAGCAGAAAAAAAAAGACTAATACCAAGTGAATCCAGAGTTTTTATTACCTACCTGAAATGGGTGACAATAGTTGAAAAAACCTTTGGCTTTCAAAATGGTATCGGTGCCCTATTTGTCGGTACTGGCCAATACCGATACCACCATTTTAGTGCTGGATTCGGGCCCTGTCCGATACTGGTATTGGTATCAGTGCAACACTACCAATTACTGCAGTTGTATTGCACCAAAGAACTATGTGTTCAAATTTTCAGATGACTCAATTTTTCTCTTCCTCATTTTAGGCACATCAGACCAAATTTGTTACAGACAGCAGATTAAAACCTTTGTTCAGGGGTGCGAGTAACACTTTCTGACCCTTAATGTCCAACAAACACAATAACTGATCACTGATCTGAGGGTTCTCCAGTGGTCATCCGCAATCAGCTAATTGTACATGTACTACAAATATCTTGGATTACAAATTGACAATAAATTATCTTAGATTGCTCAGGTTGATTATGTCCAGCTGAGGCTACATTTTTTGAGGGCCTTTGGTGTCAGTCAGAAAGTCAAGCACCTCTTGTACCGTGCTGCAATATTGATCATTGGTTACGGCATTTCTGCCTGGTTTGATAACCTGTCTCTCCAAGTGAAGGCCAAACTTACTTACCTTACCCAAAGAGCGTTGAAGTTAATGGAAGTCAAGCACTTCAAACCATCTTCATCCATCCTTCCATTTTCTTTCACGCTTATCCCTGCTGGGGTGGCGAGGGGGTGCTGGTGCCTATCTCCAGTTGTCTATGGGCGAGAGGCAGGGTACACCCTGTACAGGTCGCCAGTATGTCGCAGGGCAACACAAAGACACACAGGACAAACAACCAACCAACTCACACTAAGGAGAATTTAGAGAAGCCGATTAACCTAACAGTAATGTTTTTGGACTGTGGGAGGAAGCCAGAGTACCCGGGGAGAACCCACACATGCTAAGGGAGAACATGCAAAGTCCATGCAGAATTGGGAATTGAACCCAGAACCTTCGTGCTGCAAGGCACCAGTGCTACCCTGCTGCTCCTTAAAGCTACAGTGTGTAACTTTTAGCGACATCTAGCGGTCAGACTGCAGCAACATGAACATCCCCCCCCCACCGGGACAAAATGTCTTCCACGACGTCTGCATCACCTACCTTCTCAAGTGATGAGGTTTGTTTACATAGATAATTTTACAGATAGTATTTCATTAGTCTGTGTAGGGTATAGATTTCATGTAAACTTAAGATAATAAATATACCCGTTATTTTTTCTACATCGTTGTGACATTTTGGCGATCTCGCAATCGCTAGTTTGTTGGCTCTGCGCTGCCGTAGCGCAAAGATGTCTGCCTCCATGGCTGCGAGACCCGCTCCTATGTAATTATAAATAACAAATTCTAAGGCAACGCAAATATTAAGGTTAAGACGCTGGGCTCATAGATGATGATAAAATAACATAGTTATGTATAATATATTACATTTCTGACTTTATATCCCTGTAATTATTACACACTGTAGCTTTAAATAAGCTTCAACAAAACAATAACCAAACAGACCCAAAAAATAATTTTCTTCCTTCAACAGTATAAGTAAATAGTAGAACAGGCAATGGTATCCAAAATTTTTACCATTTTTATGGTAGGATCTCTCTCTCTCTCTCTCTCTCTCTCTCTCTCTCTCTCTCTCTCTCTCTCTCTCTCTCTCTCTCTCTCTCTCTCTATATATATATATATATATATATATATATGTATTTTATTTAGTGTTTTTATATGTGAATGTAGTGTGACCCATAGTTTGGACTATGTAGCAGCCAGAGTCTGTACCCAAGACAAATTCATCATCATATTCAGTCCAATTCCGTTTATTTATATAGCGCCAATTCACAAAACATGTCATCTCAAGGCACTTTACAGTTCACCAGATCATACAGTCAAATTGATTCAAAGTTTTCTATCTAAGGAAAACCAGTTGATTGCATCGATTCATTGACTCGAAGGCAATCCCTCACACTAAGCATGCTTGTAGCAACAGTAGAGAGGAAAAACTCCCTTTTAACAGGAAGACTAAGGCAAATGTAGAGGCGGCCCCGTGCAGGAAACACCCAGCCAGGCAGACGAGCTCCGAGCCAGCTTCCATGTCAGAGGAGGAAGAGAGCACATCCAGCCAGTCAAAGTCAGAGAAACAGGACAACACTGAAAATCAGGCAGTTATCCAACATCTATAAACCAAGTTGTTGATGGCAGCAGCATGGTGTCACGGCCAAACAGGAACAGACGAAGCGAAGCTACTATAAGAAAAAGCAGCAAGAGCATGACGTTAGAGATTGAACTAACAGATTCTGCAAAGTGGGAGAATAGAGATAGAATGAAACAGAATGATAAAAATAGGGGTCCCTATGTCCTCCAGAAGTCTAAGCCTATAGCAGCATAACTATAGAGATAGCTCAGGATAACATGAGCCACTCTAACTAAACCAACTATTCATCACAATGTGCAGAGCAGTATTACTGAACCTCCTAATCATGACCTCTGCTAAACCAGAAACAAACAAGAAACAAACAGGAAACAAACTAACTAACATTATTAATCTTAACAATGTCTGTAATTTTAAAGTTGTTTATAAAAGGATAGAGCCTGGACGCTCCAAGGGTCAGGGTTTAAAGAGCTGGCTCCTGATAGTCAAAGCTCAGGGTTTACGCTCACGCCTTCCTGTCAGTCTGCGTTCAGGGCTGCCGACCCTCCCTCCACTTCCGGTGGTGATTCGCAATTAGCAACAGCCTGTAGCTAGCAGCAGCCTTTAGCTGAGGCTCTGCTCATTTCATCCATCGGGCTCTCAGAGTGGCTTTCCGGCCTCCTCCTCCAGGTGGATCCGACCGAACCCGTCCTCCTGTCGGCCCCGAGCTGCCAGCTACGCGCTAAGGCGGAGAATTATCAAGCTTCAGTCGTCGGTTCTTTTAGTTAGCATCGAGCTAACAGCTATCCTGCCGATGAAAACATCGCGAGGAAACTTCACTGACAGGTGAGTCAGACGCACCGGCGGTGACCCATAAACATACCTGAAGAAACCCTTACAAACCTGCAGTACGTCCCTAAATGTCAAAAAGGACCCCTAACTAACCTGCAGGGCCTCCTGTCGTAGTTTGGGGGCCCCTATACATTTCAGAGACCCGTGACACAATCAGCAGAGGCCCCTGCACTCCCAAAGGAGCCCCACCACACCCACAGAGGCTCCCTGCCGTCCCTCCAGAGGCCCTTCTCACCTGAGCAGGAACGCCTTAACTGGTCACGTGATGCAAACTCCGTAGGGAGCATCGGGTCTGACATCTGCTCAGGTAAACATCAGCAGAACCACACTGAGCCCTCTGACCAGCTGAAGGGAGAAACACTGATGAAGCTGCTGCTCCTGGTCCAAATGGATACGAACTGGATCCTTGTGCATCCTGCTGGTTTTGGTTCAGTTTAGGTCCAAATGGGAAACATTCCTAAAAGCCACCAGAGATCAAAAGTTCCAAATAATGTTTTTCGACACTAAGCCTCTGTGTCAGAACATGCTGATAAAAACGATCTATATCTGATGCAGTTTAACTTAAAGCAGCTTAACTAAAACAGAACCAGGTAGCTGGGATGTTAGAACTACAGATGGTACCATCTGGCTTCTCTGGGCTGATTCCAAGTCATTGTTTATGACCTGCTGTGTTTTTAAAAAGACAAAATGTTGTTGAATCTAACAGATTTACAACATAATTTTCATTCAGAATGTCTCTCATTTAAGTTTTTTTTTGGTTTTGATCGATTGTCCTGAATCAGGTCAGTTTTAGGACTTCATTAACTCGAACTAAATATGAAATTAACAAAAGTTTAAGATAAATTTGGTTTCATTTACCCCCCCTAAGTTCCTCAGACCCGCCCTGCCTCTCTGTACTACTTTAACTGGTGCTGACTGGTCTTCATCTCTATCCACTCTTTTTATTCCCTGTTATTTTAGGAAGAACTCATGGCAGCTGGAAGGAACTGACCTCTGATTATATCTTTAATATTGGTCTGTTGTCTTAAGGCGAACATATATTTTAATTGGTTTCATTATCACCTGGAGTATAACCTGTAGTCAGCTAGTCCACTGATACGACTTTCGAAGATAACCAGCTGCAGGGTTTCGTTGATAGGATGGATGGTGTTCCTGTAGGAGCATTGTCTGCCTTTTTCAGGAAGGAGAAAGTTTGAACTGACCTGGCGGTGATGCTTCATGCTTCTGCAAACGCTCCAGAGACGTTCCTGCTCCACAGACGGGGAAAGGGGTCATTCAGGAAGGGAGTCAGTGCTGCCGTTGGAAAGTTGGATGTTTAAAATTCTGAGTCATCCAGGTCATGGAATACATGAAACAGACTCAAATCAGGAGCAGCCTCAGTGCCGCTAAGCTTTCACAAAAACGTTTTGACTCTTAGGCTCCAAAAGAGCTAATATGAAAAACAACGTCTGACAGTAAACTGGGAAACTTTAATTCTTCTTCAAGAATATTTTCCTTTTTTTTCAGAAATTGGGTGTTATTTTCCAGGATTCTGTTTTGTTTTTTTCTCATGAATTTATTGTTATTTAGTTTTCTTTGGTTTATTTATTTATTTATTTTCCAGCAGCGCCTTTGGACTGACAGTTAATTTTGTGCAAAAACTGAAAACCTAATATTTAAGCAAACTAGGAAAACTACAAATAACTGACAAAAGTCTTAATTTCTGACATTCTGTATTTTGGTCCAATAAATGACTGAACCGGGTTTTTATTATGAAACCTTCAGGCTACTCCAGGTCCCAGAGGGTCTCCCCTGTGGACGGTTGTGCCAGAATTGGATCAGAGCTCCGCCTTCATGAAGCAGACCAGAACCATGCTGACCTAGGAACCGATTCCGGAGCCCCCAGAGTCCTGCTGTGACCGTGACCATGTCAGAGAACCAGGCCAACAACAACAATGTTCCTTTGAACAACAACAACATGGGGCCCAACCGGGTCCGAAACCCCAACATCAACCAGAACCCGCTCATCAACGTCCGGGACCGCCTCTTCCACGCCCTTTTCTTTAAGATGGCCGTCACCTACGCCCGGCTCTTCCCGCCGTCCTTTAGGAGAGTCTTTGAGTTCTTCATCCTGCTAAAGGTGAGACATCCTACAGAAAGGTGACAGGATGAGACCAGGGGGTTTCATCAGTGGGTCAGTTTTCAGGGTCTTGGTTCCGCTGACTACAGTAGCTCAGAAGCAGAATTAAAAAAATGTGGTTTTACTGAAGCTCATTTGATGTTTGCTCAACTAAAAATGCTGCTGTCATAGGAGAGAGGTCTGCAGTAACACATTTTCGCCTCCATGTGTCAGACCAGAGGAGCTGATCTGGGTTTAGTGAACCTGTCCACACATCTTAGGCTAGCTTTGCACTGCAGCCTGAAGTCACCTATATTTTTTGGCCCATATGCGATATGTATCTGATCTTTTCATGACAGTTTGAACAACACAGATCTGATTTTTTCCAATGCGATCCAGGCCGCTTGGTGATTTGGTCCTGAATCAGATACGAGTCTGATCTTTTCACATGCGATCTGTCGGATGAATGCGACCTGAACGCTGTTAATACCCGACAAAGGTCACTATTCTGCGGCAAGAAAAACAACATCTATGGCAGACGATGATGCGGCGAGCAGTATTTATGTTTAACCATCTTGAAAAGATTGTGTTTTTATGGTTGGGAAAGATCGCTAGATGCGCTCCAGCACTACCATCCATGTTTACTTCAGTAAACACAGAGCACGCTGGCCTGGGACATCATTGCGTCCTCTACTGTGCATGCGGGACACTTGCGTTGTCACACAGGAGATCACATACAAGTCGCATATATTTGGAAATGTGAAGGGCAAGGCAAAAAAAAATCTGATTTTTACAAAAAAAATTGAATTGAGCTTCAAGGCCTGCAGTGTGAGCGTAGCCTTAGAGAAGGTTCAACATAGCAGCTCCTGTTGCCCTACAGCAGTGCTGAATTAGAGGGAGTCTCCCCAATCCAGGGTGACTTCCTTGCATGTCCAAGAGCAAGGATTTTGATTGATTCAGATATGCCAGCGGTATAGTCCCCTGGAAGAAAGAAGAGTCCAGGACTCCCTCATATAAACAGGCTTGAGTCAGAGCCGAGATTAGTTCTATACTAAATAGAAACAGATTCTGAGAGGAAATCAAAGTTCTTCAGTAGATTCTGGTCCCTCAGCTAACAGCCGGTAATAAGGATGCAAGTTATCAATTAATGAATAAATCTAAAGTTGATTCTATCAATTGACTAACAATTAATTGGTAAGCATCCATTCACCTAAAATCCACAACATGAACCGCTGAATATTTTTATTAAAAAAAATCATCGGATCAATACTGTATATTGTAACAGTTTAGTGGTCTATTTACTGAATAAACAAAACATGTTTTCTTGCACATTATTAAAGTTATTTGTAAGGTATAACTAAACATAACCCCATTAGGCTACAGAATAAAAAAAAAAGGTGCACAAAAAATGTAAATGTAGAGAGAATTAGAACCATTCTTAAAAGGCAAGGTATGTTGATCCACCATGCTGTCAGGCTATTTGCCTTTTTGTTTCACAGAAATAGACGCTGACCATCATATTTTTACTGCAATCCAGCATTCAGTGCCTTTAAACAGGCGGTTCTAATTGCTCTCAGATGAACCAGCTACTTTTTTATGAGTCAGTGAATGTAAGTCTGCCTCTAAAGTTAACAGTTCCTGTTCCCCCGGGTCGGCAAATGACGAATCATAGCTCATTTGGATCTAGAAGAGAGAGAACAAATCTATCTGGTTCTGGTTCTACCCAGTTCCAGTTTAGGTTTCAAGTTTCAACAGGTTAACATCAGATGTATCAGTCATCAGAGCATTCAGAGGGTTATGAGGTGCTGATGAGGGTCTGGAAGAACCAGTAATATAAATCTGAAGTGGGTGTCAATTTTGTTCTATGTAGAGCAGCAGCCTGGATTGTTTATAGCGAAACCAGGCGTCTCTGAAGTGTCTGAGATATCTGGAAACCTTTTTTTTTGTTTTTCTTTTTAAAGGCTGATGCGGGTTATTTTAAGATCCCTCCAACCGATCCCCGATATGTTTAATTTTGTTTTTTGAGCCGATATCTGAAGCTCATGCAGATTTTTCTTCTCCACCTCCATGATTATAATTGTTACGAAGGTCTCAATGTAATAAAAGAGGAGACATCTCTACAGGTGTCTTAAAGCAGAGTGCTGGCCAGTAGCTCCTGGTTGGTTCACCTTCTGTCCTCTCCCTGCTCTGCATCAGGCGCTCTTCGTCCTCTTCATTCTCGCCTACATCCACATCGCCTTCTCCCGCTCGCCAATAAACTGTCTGGAGGCGGTCCGGGACCGCTGGCCCCGCGACGGCATCCTGAGGGTGGAGATCCAAAGGAACTCAAGTCGAGCTGCCGTCTTCCTGCAGCACTATGACTCTGCCATCCTCCAGGAGGACCTGGAGGCTGAGGAGGACCGGAGGGAGCCGGGAGGAGGAGTGGTGGCTGGGATCAGCCTGGGAGAAGACGACGAAGAGGAAGAAGAGATGATGGTGTTTGATAACAGCTCAGTGCATGTAAGTTAGCATCTACATCCTCACCTGTCAGTTCCACCTGTCGGTTTCTACATGCCCGCCTTCACCTGTTTGCAGTTTGAGCTTGACTTTGAGCCGCGGCTGAAACCGTCTGTGATTGGAGGAGGTCCTGGAGGAGGAGGAGGAGTCAACGACAGCCAGGATGTGTCGTTCAGCCCCGCCTCTAAAGGTATGCAGCCGCTGCAGGACTCAGTGTCTGAGCTGGAGATGATGACCAGAGCAGGTAAACCCACCTCTTCCTACTCTGACCCTGCCATCTCAGTTAGACTCCTCCTCCTTCTCACATGCTGACTTCTTGCTTGTGTTCATACATTTTTTTTTCTGCGTGTCAAATCAGTTTCTGGAAATGGTTGTTGATGCAGTTTTTTTTTTTACTTGTTTTTTTCTCATTGTTTTCTTTCTGTTATTTATGTTTATATTTACCTTCCTGCCCTGTTCCTGAAGGCGGCTTAACTTAGTCTGGTTAGAGAGCAGAAATCCTGAGGAAACTATTCATAATATTCAGGATGTTTGGTTTCAGAACAGCTGATTTCGACAAGAGTTAAATAAGTCCTGTTTAAAGGGACTCAGGTGACATGAGATCCACCATGACAAAGGCAGGATATATATACCTTGAAGTAGAGCTTATGATATTTAATTTAATCAGATTAACAAATTATTGAAATAATGATCAACTAATTTAGAATTAAGAATTGATCATTAAATGGAGTATAGAGACTTTAAAACATGCCTTTAGCTGACAGAGAAACCAAATTAGAGCCGTTATTATATAAAAATTGTAAAAATATATAAATAAATGTTTTGCATTTAAGAAAAAACGTTTTTGTCTATATTTACTATCCAGAACTCCTCAAGTGGAAACATTTTAATATCGCCTGGTTTAATTTTGTAAAAAATCTTCTTTTAGGAACCTTTGGCTATCCAATTATTTATCAATTAATTGAACAAAATAATGGTTAGTTGCAGCCATAATATTAATGACGGCATGCTAGTAGAGTTGGACTGATACATTAGTCAACAGATTTTTGGTCAACAATGGTGTTTTTGTCTTGTATCCATATCAACCGTGTATGCATGCACGCATGCACCATGTATGTGCAGGGGGGTTTGGTAAAAAGGAACTGAATTAATAACCCAGTCTGAGAGTTTAAAAGAAATTCATTTATGTATTGAAAGCAACGGTGGAATAAATGGCTAAACTAGTAGCACTTTAAAGGGGAAATGTTAATGATTTAAAGTAGATTCTAGTTTATGACTTTGCAATGTTTAATTCTGTTGATGACTTTTCTTCAGTTCAGAGTGAGGTTAGAGATGAAGAGGCTGCAAAAAATTTAATGTAAACAAAAATAGTACCTTGTAAAGAACAGTTTGGAAACCCTTCCTTTAACCTTGATTTATAATTGACACCTCCGTAGGGTCCGCTTGGCTTAAATTATGTCAGTTTTAGCTTCAACTCCTACAGTACACCTAGTAAAATTTGTAACTAGATGGACAGAACCATGCAGGAAAACATGGCGGCAAGCAGCAGCTCCTACTGGTGAGGGTTCACCGATGTAAAGATCTAGAGACATCTTACAGGTCGGCTCATAAATATCATCCCTATCGACAGATTGTGGAAAAACTGCTGGAAGGAAATGACTACTGCTCTCGAACAGCATAAAAAAACTTTGATAAAATTGTAACGGCTGAGTTTTCCTCTGTGCTGTTTGTGCTGCTTCAGCACAGAGTATATTGAAATATGGGAAAGGTCCTATCAGTGTTATTGCATACAATTATGTTGCAATTTAGATTGATATTGAAATATTGTGCAGCTATAAGTTTGTCATCAAAATTATTCTTCCTTACATATTCATAGGCGTGCATGACACATCCATCGTGGTGTAACCCAGCAGGGTCAAAAAGGACATAACTAAAAATGTTTTAAAGTTTTTTGACATGCAAATGCAGTTTAGATAGTTTTCTGTTCATAAATCTAAGTGCTAAACAACTGCATGAGATTTATTTACAAGAAAACATGCAAACGTAAAATCAGAAAGAAATTAGCTCTAAAAAATGTTTGGCTTTAACATTGTTGATTATTATGAGCTGCTTCACATGTTCCTCATGGCACAAAGCTATGATTAGCTGCTATGGCAACAGCATTAGCACAGGTTAGGTATATCTATAATAGAAATAGAAAAGAAACATAAAACCTAGAATAGATTAAATAAAAAACATTTACATTTTGGACAAACCGATTATAAAATAGGCATCATTAAAGCAGTTAAATTAGAGGTTAAGAATAGTAGGGTGACATTTTTAACACTTGATCAGATTTAAAGCTCTACAATATGATATAAAACATAATATAAATGTTTTTATTGAAGGAACAGTGAATGTGATGCCACTTATACCAGAAAACTCATATATATATATATATATATATATATATATATATATATATATATATATATATATATATATATATATATATATATATATATATATATATATATATACAAATAGTCTAAAAATGTGAAGCAGTTCTTTTATTTCTGGGTTCTCTTGTCACAGAGGGAAGGAGAACCTTCAGGCTTTAGGTTGTGACCGACACCTAAATGTTTAAGGTCACACTGATCTAGATAAAATCAAATAAGGTTGAACAAACATGAACCATTTGTGCCTGATGATAAAACACTTAGAGAAACGGATCAGCAATGAAGTAGAGATAGACCCAAACTTTGGCTGGCTGGTATTTTGGACTCATCTCTCTATATAGCTTAATTATCGAGATATATTGACTGTGGTGATGAATCTATGAACCCAAACCTACAAATACATTTACTTGCATGGAGCATTTTCTCTCCAGGCTCTACAGGCTCCTCTAGTAAATGAAACGCCATATCTGAAACTTTCCAGTATCTGATCTCAGCCCTAATGTACAACAGACAAATCTGCTACCACCAGCATCAGTGAGAGAGTAGCTTGCATTTGTAGCTTGACTCTGAAATGGTTAAAATGGCTTCTAAAACCAGAAACCCCAGAAGTGAATATTAGTTCTTATCCCTCCTTCAGAAACGGGGCCCACATGTTTTTTTTTTTCCTTCTTGCTGTCAATACAGAGCTCTTCTTTTTAGGACTGGTTGGTTTTTGCTAAATGTTTCCATTCAGTTGTGGTCAGTTAACGCGTTGTTGTTGTTTCAGTCTGGCCGCAGGACGAGTACATCGTAGAGTATTCCCTGGAGTACGGCTTCCTGCGGCTGTCGCAGAGCACCAGACAGAGGCTGAACATCCCCGTCATGGTCGTCACTCTGGGTCAGACTCTGAGCTGCGTCACATGAACCCGTCAGGTCACATGACCTCGTCAGGTCACATGACCTCGCTCACATACCATGTGGTCTTTGTGTAGATCCCACCAAGGACGAGTGCTTCGGAGACGGCTTCAGTCGCTTCCTGCTGGACGAGTTCCTGGGATACGACGACATCTTGATGTCGAGTGTGAAGGCGCTCGCTGAGAATGAGGAGAACAAAGGTACCTAGGCTCCACCCACTGGCCGGGCATCACCAGTTCCTGTCTTTTCAACAGGTTATGGGTATACCTGTTGGATGGAGGGTGATGTTTCTGTGGTTCTCTGCAGGCTTCCTAAGGAACGTGGTGTCTGGAGAACATTACCGTTTTGTTAGCATGTGGATGGCGAGAACGTCGTACCTGGCTGCCTTTGTCATCATGGTCATATTTGTAAGTTCATCTGAAGAAGGACATAATGGCTCGGATCAGAAAATTATGTATCGAAATTATTTAAAACGGAGGCCTTTTAGCAACCAGGAGGAGAAAAAAAAAACTAAAAATAAAATTAAAAATGAAACTTATTAGAAGTGAAAACAAAAAACAAACTAGAGATCTAAAACTAAAATAAATATTTAAATGAACAACAGAAAAAACTAAATAAAAAACGTAAAGAAAAACGAATTAAACAAAAAAAAATCTTTATGAAACAATTACTAAATAAACTCTGGAATCCTTTATTTACATCTAACTATCTACATATCCATCTGTCTATGTGCGTGTGTTTATATAGATAGGTAAATAAAAAAAATTAATTGGGCTATCAGAATGTACCAAAACGAAAATTCTTGGCCTAAACAAAAAAGACTGAGAACCGAATTGAATTCGGAAATATTTTAACCTAAACATTTTTGTATATAATGTGTTCTAACTTGACTAAAATCAGGGCATTTCAACAACAAAGTATCAAAATATCTAGTTATCACTGACATTTTTTGTTGTTATGCCCTTTACCTCAGCCGAATCATTGGGAAACTTTCCTGCCTTTTCAAACCCGTCCTTCACAGACTGAGTTGGCATGTTGGCACAGTGCGATTTTTTTTTTTTTATTTTATTTTTTTTCCAGCCGTGCGAGAATTTTCCGATCGTGCCGACTTCAAGCCTGATCGTGCGTCATGTAGTGTACAGGGGGTAACCAGGGGTGATCAGCCCCCCACGACCACCACCCGATCAGGAATCGTGAGGTTGGGACTAGAGACTGACATTTTTTCGGGAATCCCACGGGTCACAGGATTCCCGTGGGATGGGAGTCAGTATTAGTAACGATCACGTGATTGGGACGGTACAGGATTAAACATTAACGGGGCAGACGGGAGCGGGAGCAAACCAATAATAACAAAAAAAAAAAGCTAGGATCGATGCCAAAAAATAAAATAAAATAGAAAGAAAAAAAATCCAATACTGGCGCGGCGCCGCCATTTTGTAGTTTTTTTCCTTGAAGCCTACACTATGATGGGAGTCAAAAAAACTACACGACCCAAAAACCAACAGTGCTTCCGCTCTGAGTTTTTTACCCGCGCTCAAAAAAAAAAAAGAAACAAGAATGGGAGTGGAGCGGGAGCGGGAGTCATTCTGAATGGGAGTGGGAGTAATTTCACCAGGAGTGGGACGGGACAGGATTTAGATTTCTACTCTGGCCCGGGATCGGGAGGGGACACAATTCTTTTCTGTGGGAGTGGGACGGGACAGGAGTGAAAATCCACTTCCGTGTCAGTCTCTAGTTGGGAACATCCCGACCGTCGTGGGCAAAATTGCTCAGGGTGCATGGGCAAACAAGGACTCTTCTTCTTCTTCCTCTCAGATGTAAACGCATAAGCATGGCGGGGGTGCGAGTGAAATGGAATTGTTTCTGTAAAATTGACAGACCATAGTAGCCACGTTTGCTCAGCCATGTCTTTGTCCAAATACATCGTTGCCTTTTCTTTTTAGGGTTTTCTGCACAAAATTGCACTAATTGCCAAGGCAGCGAGTTTTAGTCTAGTGAGCTTCATATTCCTCTACTACTCCTTTGGCTTCCGGATAGACGAGTCCGAGTAGCGCCATCTCAACACGTAGCTGAGTCTGACGTGGTTTTTAGACGTACAGTGTGAGCAGGTAGATCAAATTAGAGCGTCAGGCTGAACATGCATCGTGAGCTGTGTACGATGCACTGTACGACGAAACACTGCGGTTTTGTCGTGCAGTGTGACCTGTAGCTGTGCACAGTGTATGCCCGGCTTTAAGTGTCAGTTTCCTTTTCCATGTCGGATTCTTCTTGTATTCAGAATGGTGATGGGAACGTTTGGATTTTTGTGCGACTGACCTGAGCTCGCAGTGAGAACGATGTGCAGCGTTTAAACTGGCACCCTCTCCCTCAAAGCCTGTCTGCCGCACGCTCGTATCTAACAAACACTGCTCTGCCACTTGTGCTCTCCTGCTTCAGTGATTTTTGTTGCACGTTTCTGCAATGTTCATGCATACTCCCTGTTCCGCGTCATTACAAGTTTCGGCTGTGTTGTTTCAGTGTTAAATGTCTATCAGCCGATAGCTGATAAACAGGACCAGAACGTTCACATTTTGGACAAAGAAGACAAGTGGTTTGAAAGGGGTGTGAAGGAAGCCATTTATGTTAAGAGAGAAAAACTAACCTTAAACAGAGGGGATGGGCTCAGGTTTCAACTTTCAAAGACCTACAACGCAGCAGTAGAGTTGATTCCTTCCTGCTACCGTAATCCTCATGGCCATGCAGGGGACCAAGACAACTCACCTGGTCAGCCAGGCCAACAATGACCCTAACAACTCCCCCCTTTCAGAGGCATAGGTCAATATCTGGAATTGCAGGCTAATAAAGATCTCAACGACTCCCCATTACTAAGGGGCGGACCTGTTCTTCCAGTTCAATCTGCATGTTTTCTAAGCCATAACAAGGTTTTGTTTGGGCTACTCTATAAAGCTTGGAACTCTTTTTTTTTGAATTGGAAAAAGCTTCCTTGATGGGAAGCGAAACGTCTTTAAACTTGGAAAACAAAGTCCAGTGTGTTGTTTTTTTTGTTTTTTCTTGTTTGAAATCAGCCAATAGGTAATATAAATGAGCTATAGAGGGACAGAAAAGAAAGGGAGAAACATGATTCTTCTCCACAAACTTGGAGTTGAAGCCAAAGGGACGATGACATCTAATAATTGAGGGGAAGCCAGAAAACCTGGTTATAACAGTGATGAATCAGTATCCTCCTCCAGAAAGCAGCAAAGCTGCTTTTTATTCCATGTTTAATGTTCTAGATACTGAGACTGGAGGATTAGTGATCTATGGGGGACACTGGGATAGAAGAATAAAAACCATTTCTTTAAAGTTATCATTGGAGAGAAAGGGAATAATTGATCAATGGAGAACACTTAAGTAATTTAAATGAAATTTTATGCACTACTTAATGAGCCATTATGAGCATTTCGGTTTAGATTATAACCATGGAAGTAAATCTGATGTAGAGTATAGAAACATATGATTAGAGCAGCAGACAGTAGATTACAGTGCTCTATATATGCAAATGAACACTAACAGTATGGAGGTTAAAGGTGTGAAACGGGTAATGAAGGAAATGGAAAAGGAAATGATACAGAGTGAGGTCGATTCATGGATAGTGAGGGAAACTAAAGGTGTTTTTGTGGGGAAGGTTCATAGCTAAAAAGGCAGAAATATAAAAAAAGAGGAATCCAAGCTTATGGAAACTTAAAAAAAAAAAAACAAAGGAAGAAGAAATATATCAGAAAATTCAAGAAATGTAGAAAACAGACTGTATTCTTGTCAGAAATAAAGTTTAAACAGGATTTCTACTGGAGAGGTGACTAATATTCAGGTAATGCTGCATATAAGCAACAGCCATTAACAGCAAATAGAAGCTTCACTGAAAAACTCTATTTAACCAGAGAGAGAATAGACTTATTATTAAAAAACCTTATATAACCCAAAGATGGAATAAGGATAAATGGAAACCTGATGAAAAAGCGTAGTCTGCAAAGGTCGACTAGATGGGGATGCTGCCTTTAACCTGGTCCAATGCTACATTCATTGAACCTTTGACTCAAACACGAACAACCCAATAATTACAGGTCTGAACAATAAACATAAATGTGACTTTTCTGGATGTCACCCTCCCAAACAGCTAAATACATCATTTCTCGAACTGCTGGAAAGTTTTGAAAGTATACGGTAAATATTTCAGAAACACAAACACTTTAATGGTATTCCTTATAAACACATGAAGAAGAGCTATAAATTAAACTGGAAATTGACATAAAAAACTGTGCAAGACTTTTTTTTTTTATTTTTTATCCTAGCTATCCCAGAGTAAAGTAGGAAGCTAAGAAAGATGGAGAATTGTTTCTATTCCCAGCATCCCCAGCACAGGTCAGCCTAGAGCAGTTTGTTTCTTGGGAACTGATCATTTCTGGGTTTATCTGGATGCATGGAAGATCAATGTTGTGTCTGTTCAGAGTTAAAAAGAACGAGCTGAAACAGCTGACACAGATAAAAATGAACTAGTTCATTTGGAAAATTAAGCCCCAATCCTACACAATAGAGCCACATATTTCACCCTTTAAATGTGTGATCATAATACATATAGAGAAATGGAAAATACTTGATGCAGTCAAGGTGTACTGTATGTGCAGTGAAGCCTTTAATCAGCCAAATTACACAGAACTTCAGAAAAATACAGGTACGTTCAGGTTCTGCTGAAAAGATCTGGATCAAAGATGATTTCTTACATTTCTCTTTCAGTAGCAGATATTCCCCAAGATAGCTCAGATGGTTAAAACTCGATTTGTCGCTTCAAATTTAAAGTGGATTTGGCTGACGTACAGAATCGTCTGTTAAGTCTCGCACACTAGTATTAGCAGTAAACATGCTGGTCTTTTGTGCTGTTTGACGTAATAAGTGCCGTAAAACTTGACTTTATCCCATAGAAAAGTGTTGTTATCAATTGAATGCTAATGTCAGCTATGTGTTGAACTGAGTTGGGAGTGAGAATATGTTAATGTCGTTCATTATTCTCATACTGAATTCCGGTGAGGATTCTCAGTCATCCAGGTCATGGTCATTCCAAAAAAAGTAAAAATTAAAACAATCCACTGGACTTTGCTTCAAAGTTTGAAGACATTTTGCTTCCAATCCAGGAAGCTTTTTCAATTCAAAATGTCAGGAATAGCGTTGAGTTCAAGGTTTTATACAGTAAACAAAGCCTTGTTTTTTGTTTTGAAAACATGCAAATGGAAACGGAGAAAGAAACGACCCCCATTCCAAAGGGTTGGACACCTTCATCCGTTTCTCATACTGCATGTCGCTCTTGTTCACGTTCATTACTTTAAAACTAATCTGTTCAGTTCACTGTTCACTAAAAATGTGAACGTTTCACTGAACGCATTCATGCACAACACGACTCAAGCTAAGATCTACACAATATAATGAGAATTATATACTATAATAAAACTCAGTAAAGGATAAGAAACAAAAATTATTACATAGAATGACAGCTTTAATTATATCTGAATACCAAATGGAAATAAAATTCCAATTTAAAACAAAAAAATAAATAAGAATAAACAGATTTAAATGAGATCAAATGGTAACTTAACGGGAACTTAAATAAAATAATCCTAAATAAAACCACAGAATGTTCAAATGTTTAGAATTATATCGAAAAATAGCTGAGATTTGGTCAGTGAATAAAAATGAGACCAAATAAATGAAAAGAAACTAGTTTCCTAGCGGTTCTGTTGGGTCAAAGCACCTGGATCTTTCTCTGGTTGATGAGAATCTGCCGATCTGAGCTAGTAAGGGCGCGGTGGGGCGGGTTGTTCTGGAAGTCTGTGAGCAATGCAAAGGAAGGAGCCAACTGGATCAGGACCTCAGGCTGTCCCGGATCAGAGTAGAGGTCCGGCTCCAAGGTGCCTTCTAGTCATTTAAAGTCTAAGATCACCCTGGACACCAAAGGAAGTGACATCATGGCTTCAGTGTGGAGCTGCTGCAAACGAGATCAGGGTTCTGTTTCCATGATGTAGGAGAAAGAGAAAAATGATGTTTATCCTTTCAGGCAGGAATGTTTCCACTTTCTGTTGTGACAGGAAGTGATGAACGTTCGGTTCCTGTTTGAATCTCTTATGACTTTCGACCTTTTATATAACATTTTTGGTACAGACATGGAACAAACAGGAACATCTCAAAGTTCAGGTAGAACCAGCCTGATGAGGAGGATGATGATGATGAGGATGATGAAATTTCTCTATCGTTCTTGTGTTTTTATTTTAGATTTTCTTTTGGAATTGGTAAAATAATACAAACTAATATTTTCTCTACATAAAATAACAATGTTTCTTCTTGAAAAAACTTAACTGGGAGATGAATTTGACTGAAGTAAACCTTGGTCAGCGGAACCGTAGGACCAGAACCGGTTCGGAGCTAACAGCGGTTCTCTGCTCTGTCTTTCAGACGCTGTCTGTGTCCATGCTGCTCAGATACTCCCATCACCAGATCTTCGTCTTCATCGGTTAGTTTGTTGCTCGGTCCGGTCCAATCAGGGCCTGATCCAAGGTTCTGTGTGCTGTGAACCTTCGGCTGACCCGTTCTGTCATTTTCAGTGGATCTTCTTCAGATGCTGGAGATGAACATGACCATCGCCTTCCCAGCAGCCCCTCTGCTTACGGTCATCCTGGCGCTGGTTGGTAAGTTCTGTTTGGTTCTGTTGGAGGATCCGGTTCTGTTTAGGTCCTCTGTGGTTCGTCTACAATGTCACTTCCTTTGGTCAGGCATGGAGGCCATAATGTCGGAGTTCTTCAACGATACGACCACAGCGTTCTACATCATCCTGATCGTCTGGTTGGCTGACCAGTACGACGCCATCTGCTGCCACACCAACACCAGCAAGCGCCACTGGCTGCGGTGAGTTCGGAGCGCCACTGCAGAACCTTTCTAGCACACAGTATCTCCAGTCTGTTAGGGGCGTGTGCTGATGTTTGGGGCGGTTCTCCGCCTTTAGGTAGAATCTGTATTTACTGGATTAATTCTTCCATCTTTATGGTTCCAGTTCTCCAGGTAACCCCAGGAGATCAAACCGACGCCACATTCAATATAAACAATTCTGTCCTTTTTCCTGCTAACCCAACTAGCTAGCCCTCTGACATGGTCTCACCTGGTTCTGTTACAGGTTCTTCTATCTGTACCACTTTGCTTTCTACGCCTACCATTACCGCTTCAACGGGCAGTACAGCAGCCTGGCTCTGGTCACCTCCTGGCTCTTCATCCAGGTCAGAACCTTGGAAATGGGGGGGGGGGGGGATGCAATTTGGGCATGAAACAATTTTTTTTTTTTTTTAACAAAAACGCCTTGAGAGTAACTGCTTTTTCTCTGCTTTTATTATTTTTTTTTTCAAATGGTCTTTGAAATGCTGTTTGAAAAACAGAAATTGGAAAAAATAAAGTATAAAATGTGTTTAAAGAAAATTAACAAAATTTGAACAAAAATAGACAAAAGGAGAATATTACATTTGTAAAAAGGTAAAATTTTAAATCAACTATTTTATTTTATTATTTTTACAAAATATGTTTTATTCTCGCAACAATGATGAACAAAATCCACTCCTTTATTCTTCTGCTCCTGGTGCTTATATAGCTCCGCCCCTTCTTAATCAGGCTGATGCTTTTCTCTGATTGGTTAATGCTCTCTCTCTTGCTGGTTTTCTGCAGCACTCGATGATCTACTTCTTCCACCACTACGAGCTTCCTGCCATCCTGCAGCAGATCCGGATCCAAGAGATGCTTCTCCAGAATCAGCAGGCGGGTCAGAACCAGACAGCTCTGCAGGATAACCTCAACAACAACAACACTGCAGCCGCCGGTGCCGCCGCCGCCGCCGCTGCTGCTGCTGCTCCGGCACCAGCTGGAAGTAGCCAATCAGGAGACGCTGGGAGTGAGCCTCTGCAGGCTGACGCCCTCCCATCATCATCCTCGGCTGCAGCAGGCGGAGCGGGAGAGGTCAGAGCAGAGCTAAACTGGGTCGCTCAGACGGCAGCCATCATCACTGAGGCACTGAGCTCCTCCGTCGACTCAGGAGGAGGTGGTCAGGGAGCAGCAGGAGGTCAGGGAGCAGCAGGAGCAGAGATTGGTGTGGAGTTCTGGGTGGGAGGAACGACAGAAACCGCAGCATCATCTTCAGCAGCAGCAGATGGAGTTCCTGAAGCTGCTCCATTGATTGACAGGCCTGAAGCGGGCGGAGCTGAAGCCGCCCAGAGGGGCAGCAGGGGCCATGAGGAGGAGGGGGGGCCCTCAGGTGTGTCCTCCCCTAACACTGCTTGCCCAGCCCCTCCCACAGACTGCCAGTCACCTGAGACGCAGCGACAGAGCTCCGCCGCCCTCGGTACGTCGTGAGCGTCCAGGTGAGCTCCTGCTGACATCATCATGTCACCATGACGACTAGATGCTTCAGCTGATCCGGCTGGTTGATCGTTGATCCGACAGACAAACAGTCTGAGCTGCACTTTACTCCAATTAACTGATTGATCAATTAACTAATTATAAAGTGATCCGAGGGAAGCTCCCTCCTGACGGTCGCTAAGCTGAGCTCTGGTTCTTGTTCTGTTCTCTGTGACCCGTCTGCAAACCCAAATGACGTATTTCAGATCAAACACTCGATCAATAGAAATGAAACTGTCCCGGTTGCTGCTGAGTAAACCAGCAGAACCCCTCAGAGTGATTATTGATCCGAGATCGGTTCTGATTCTGACAGACTGAAGCACGAATAGAACTGCTTAAATCTGCTTTTATTATGGAGGAAGAACAGGAAGCTGTTGTTGGACCGGTCGGCCAGGCGGATCGCAGGCAGAGCGAGATGATCGGCTGTGCGTTGCTGCATAGGCCCTGTCTCTATTTGGAGGGCGTGGCCTCTTGTCATGACGTGTTCAGGCCTCATCTGGAATGAATTTGAAAAATAATCAGCAACATCAGGCTAAATCATCTGCATGAGCTCAGCTTTCAGAACCAGAACCAGTGATCCAGAACCTTCCTGATTCGGTATTCTGATTCTTCTGTTTCCAACAACTGTCCGGGAAGGAGAGCGGGGCCTGAACACCTGTTCCTGGGCGTGGGACTGTGGGCGGGGCTTGGGGTGGGCAGTGGTTCTTTTTGGTGCCTCTCTGCTGGATGACTGTAGCCTGTTAGAACCTATTTAAACCAGCAGAACCGGCAGCTGTGGGAGGTTTTACCTGCAGAATGGGTCGGGCCTCCTGCAGACTGAGCAGGTATCGCTGATCAGAGCTGAGTCACCTGTAGGTCAAAAATAAAACGTTGTGAAAACCTTTTCTGTTTCCTTTATTTGTACCTGTCTAAACCAATATGACTCCGTTTGGTGGAGGGATGAGCAGAAACACCTGAATGGTCCATAAACTCCTTAGATAAAACCCAGGAACCCGTTTACAGCCAATCAGAGATAAAGCCCAGCTTGATTTAGCCTGATCATTTCTTTCTGGATTCATCTGTTCCACGAAGGCCAAGACAGGCTCAGCAAGGCAGGTGTATGTATCCAGTTAGTCCCTGAAACGGTAAGAAGAACTTTATCATATGTTTAATGTTATGTTGTTTTAAGAATTGAAGGTATTTGATTAAAAGGTGACAAGTATGCGAAAGTGTGGGGACAGTTGCAACACTATTTAACCAATAAGCATTAAGTCAGACTTATGAGGATACTGCTGCACAGGCTCCCTTCTCCCCTACTTGTTCCTACAAGACAGCAAACGCATCCCATAATACCTTCAGAGAGAACGTGACTTGGCTCAACAGGTTTAAACACAGAGGGAGAACTAATGTTTTAAGCAAGTATAGCAAGTTTAAAGATTGTAGTTATGAGGGGCATCTATTTATCAAATTGATCTCTAAAGGTTTAATCCAAAGTTGAATAAGCCAGTAATTAGATAAAATAGTGTGATCCAAAATGAGTTTTATTAATAAATCACAGTTTCAACCGTACAACTACGTGTTACCTGCTTTACATAAGGCTCCTGATGGGTGTTTAGGGGACAGAGGTACGTTTACCATGTTCAAGTTTTGTCATTCAAATAAAAAGAGGCTGTGAGAATTTAATGGAAAAATAAAAACAGTTGTAACCATCCCCACTCTCACCTACTGAGTACTAAAACATCTGAGATTTAATATTGTCATAAAGACAGACCAAAATGTCAATTATTTACAGACTCTTTTAAAGGCTATAATGTAATAAAACAAAAATATTGTAATAAAAAAAGCAATAAAATGTCCAATATTTACTCTTTGCTGTCTATAAGCGTGCCCTTCTATTGACACGGCTCATATAAGACAAACATGAACTGTGTCTTTATCTAGAGCACTTTAAAAAATGTGCTTGTTATTCAGCAGAGTCACAATAGATGTTACAATAATCTAATCGTTAAAAGCATATTCTTTTGGTCAAAATGTTACTCCTTTAACTGAGTAAATGTAACTAGTTCTCATCCTTGAAGTAATTAAGCTAAATTGGGTCTACAGTTCTCTTCAGCAGAGCATGAGGTCGATCACAGGTTCATTGATTCAACAAACAAGAGCAGATCCAGTAAATTCCTAAAATAAACATTACCTTCAAAATTTAAGGAGTTATTTTTTCATTCCTTTCAAACAAATAACTGTAAACTTAACAGTGGCTGTAACATTATCAGATATACATAAACCCTTCATTCCTCACCTTCGGTCCCTGTGTGATGACATCAGTGTTTCTGCCATAAGATCTTTGTCCAGATATATCACCTTGTATTGTTCCACATCCTATTAATAGTCATACATAGCTAATATGAATGGACCAAAGAGGACCTGACAGCAGAGATGAACTAGAAGAACCTTATCTGGAGAAAATGTTGATTATAATTTACAAATAGTCTCTACTAACAATTTAAAATGTGGCTGCACACGTATTTGATCCTCTTTCCTAATTGAGGTGATTAAAATGTGCTTTTGTCTTGCACTGATCTTGTTTTAAACAAGAGTAAAAAAGCAAAGAGGCTCAGGTTTATAAATACAAGTAAAACAAAGATATTTATTTGTAATTCTGCCGCGGTGCCCCTGAACCTCACTGCACCACAGAACTGTCAGAACATCAAAAATCAGTGTCAAGAACAGAATGGTGTCTTTTTGTTTTGACCCCTGAAAAGGAGAACAGGTTTCTCTGCTCCAGCTGCTGTCCTGCATCAATCATCTCCACATGAAGCCACATGAATCCATGGATCCTTTCCACCTGCACGGATCTATTCTTTAGGAGCAACCTTTATCACATTTCATGAATTAAACTTTGTGTGGGAGCTGATGGGTTTTAATGAGGTTTAAAGGTCAGAAAGCTCCAGTTAACATGCTGTCATCTAATAATCTGTTTGCAGATCAGCATCTAATCAGATTAAAGGCTTAAAGGTTTGAGTATAAAAATAGTTTTGTCAAAACTTTTTTTAGTTATTCAAGGATTTGAAAAGTAAGTTAATATCCTGAAAAAAATCTTATATTTTAACATCAGCGGTTGTTTACTTTGACTTGGTTCAAGCTGGAGCTTCAGAGAAGGAAGACCTTTTATTCTCGTTTGGACTTTAAAAATTAAACATATCAGATTTAAGAGGAAATATCAGATCTTAATAGAATTAAAACAAACTGAGTGAATCAGTTACTGGATGAGCTGTGTACACGTTAACAAGGCCTGACGCGCCTCATATCTTAAAACTTAGGTGCTTTAATAAGTAAGAAAGGCAAAAGTAGAAAGATAAACACCATAAATTTTATTTAAACACAAACTTTAGACAAATTTATAGGTTTACTGCATAAAAACACCAAACATGTTAAAAATCCCTCTGATATATTCAGCAACATTTGTTTTCATGTTTGCATATTTGAGCTCAACCAACCAAATATAAAAAGACAGTTTGTTAAAGGTGGAGTTCCTCAGGATCCACATCCTGGTCCTGAGGCTTTTATTATTCATTCCGACTGAAACGGCTTGTTCTCTTTTTCAGACATCCTTACAGAAACAATTTTAAACATGAAGTGAAAACAGTTTTAATAAAATTAAAGCGACCATTTAAAAAAATAAAATATTTAACCAAGAGTCTCAGCAGCAATGAATAAGGTGATGGATGCAAGCTGCTTTCATAACATCTTTGTGCTGGTTTCTCATTTAAACAATGTCATTTCAGAATAAAATCTGTCTTTTTCTCTCAGTCCAGTGGAAGCCGGGGAATGCATCACCTCCTCTGATTGGACAATCTGCTGCGGAGGGGCTGAACTTTGGACAGCACCTTGTGGGGGGGCACCGTCATGGTTGTGACACTCTTCTTGTCAGGAGAAACACTTGTTGTTGTGGTGATGGTTGGTAAGGGTTTGGGGGGGTTCCCTGTTGTAGTTATCTGTTCTGGCACTGGGTTGGTTGTAACCGTAGAAACGGGTTTGGCCAAAGTGGTCTGGATCTCAGCCCTCCGAGCCAAAGCGACTCTCAGCTTCTCCCTCATCTGCTCGATTTGTTCCTGCAGCTCCTGCAGCTCTCCAGGCTGGGGAGGGGCCGGGATGGAAGGGGTTGTAGATACTGGAGGAGCAGTGACAGCAGAAAGGGGAGGGGCTTTAGCTACAGATGGGGGGGCTGGAGCAGCAGATAGAGGGGTGTTGAGTTTAGCAGAGGAGGAGGAGGGTAAGGAGAGCACCAAACTGGCCAAAGAAGCTGCCGGGCCTCCATTCTCACACAACCTGCTGGTTGGGCCCCCCTTCGGCTTTATGGGCTCCTCCACGTCACCTTTGGACCCGGCCCCCTTTGCTTCTGAGGCTGCAAGACGAGCAAGAAGGCGCCGGGTGTTGAGGGTCTCCAGGCTGAAGTGGACCCGCTTGAAATCTCGAGCATCTGGAGCAGCTGGACCGTCCTTACTGGTTTCATTATTCCATTTGGCAGTTGCAGCACAGGCTGGGGGCCCCGGGGGGCCTAATGTAACAGGGTTACTGTGAGCTGTCTGGGGCTTCTCCAGGTTACAGCTGAAGAGAGAGAGACAGAAAACAGGGGGGGTTTGGGTATCCTTTATGCTGATGTGTTCAAATGATTCAATTCAGTTTATTTATATAGCGCAAATTCACAACAAATGTCATCTTTACAGTTCACTTTACAGTTCACCAGATCATACAGTCAGATTGATTCAGTTTTCTATCTAAGGAAAATCAGTTGAATGAATCGACTCATTGACTCAAAGGCAATCCCTCACACTAAGCACGCTTGTAGCGACAGTGGAGAGGAAAACTCTCTTTTAACAGGAAGAAACCTCCAGCAGAACCAGGCTCGGTGTGAGCGGCCATCTGCCGAGGCCGACTGGGGTTCAAGGAGACAGAAGCAGAGATACAAAAGGCAGCTAGCTGAAAAAGACGTGTTCTCCTGAGGGGCCTGAAGATGAGCTCAGTGAATTCATGGAAACAAAGTCTGATACTATAATAATAAATACAATCATGTTATTAGAAATGTCACCACTAAAATAAACTACAAATGTTTGGAGTAAAGAACATCATAATCTGGGTTAAACCTGCCAAACTAACCTTTTCTCTTTCTCAGCTCGCTGCTTTTTAACATCCTCATACGTCATGTTGAGAGCTCGGTGGATTTTCTGTCAGACAGAAACATCAGACTCAGTTTTAGGATCAGAAACAGGAGGACCAGGCCAGAGTCACACTGACTTAAGAACACTGAGCTGGAAAAATCATGTGGAACCCACCTGGGAGGTGTGCAGCCAGTACTTTAGGTTCTGTCGGCGGCGGATGTGCGGCAGGACGAGTCGATAAAATCCATGTTCACCTGCGAGGGTCAGCAGAGCTCCGCTCACTCCAACACACAGCAATACAAAGAGTCCTGAGAAGTGACTGATGCCCATCTGCAGAGTCTGGAACACAGAGTGGGATCAGTAAGGTTCCTGAGTCAGCCACCAGGGGGCAGTGTTGCACATATTGTGACTGCTTTCACATGTTCACTGCTGCTGCATGTGAGTGTCTCACTCATGTCTTTTTCTCCAAATCACAATGGGACACTTTGGAGACAGGAGGACAGTATACTATAGAGGCCTGCATGGGGCAGTTAGATCTCATTCATAGCTCCAATTCAGTTCAGTTTATTTCTAAAGCGCCAATTCACGACACATATCATCTAAAGGCACTTTACAGTTCACCAGATCATAAAGTCAAATTGATTAAAAGTTTTCTACCAAAGGAAAACCAGTCGATTGCATCGACTTGTTGAATAGAAGGCAATCCCTCACACTAAGCATGCTTGAAGCGAGAGTGGAGAGGAAAAACT